ACACACACACACAAAAGCAAACTGATCAAATATTCATCTGTCTCTCTGGGCTCAGACTGTGGCTTGGCCCTTTCACCGCTGCTGGTTCATTACTAATGATGAGGGGGAGTTGCTCCCCACGGGAGAGAGGGAACACAAACAAAAAGACCAACCGCCTGATTGACACAAATGTACAAACATACTCACTCACACATGCAAAGACACAAGAGCACACACATATTCATGCAATATTCCTCCTTCTCTGTAGCTTTTTCTGTTTGTTTCTGCCCATCAGCATGGGAAAACCAACTAAAGGAAAAACTCAAATATACTGTAGGCTGCATGTCAGGAAATTAGACCAATCCGGACATTTTTTAAAAATCATCCAAAATTGCAGTAATGATTGAAGGAAATCTGGCACTTGCCTCTAAACCTTGCCCTTAACAGGCAAAAAATGTTGGAAAAAACTTGCAAATTTGAGAAATGAACCTACAAAAACTGAACAAAAAACTATTTTTCACAAAAACTATGTTGAAGTACAGAACAGGGGGATATCAGAGAACAAACATGTGCAGAAACGAAGAGACTATAAGTATGTGTTCACATTACAGCTGCACAACCAATCAAAATATTGTGGAAATCGGGTTATCGCATATGAGTTTTTTTTTTACCATATTGTGCAGCCCTATTTCACATACTTGTATTGTCTTTTTTGGTCTGGGGTTTTATAGTTCCAGTTAAAGGGAATCAAACTGCTACAATGTTGTTGTGTGCTTTCAACTTTGGGGCAACAGTTTATTTCTGAATGGGACTTTCCTAAGCAAGGTTTAGAAAGACATGCCTTTCTGAGTTTGGTGAGATACAACTTGACTAGCTTGCACAAAGACCAGACCTCAACCCCCATCCAACACCTTTGGGATGAATTAGGACAGACCGTGAGCCAGGCCTTATCATCCAACACTGGTGCCTGACCTAACTCATACTCTCGTGGCTGACTGGGAGCAAATCCCTGTCGCCAAGTTTGAGGACAGCCTTGCCGGAGGAGTTTAGGCTGCATATTAATGTCATCGTGTTGGAATGAGACCTTACTGTACACCATCACATGTGAGTGTAATGTTCAGCAGCCTACATACTTAACTATATGAATTATAACAGACACAACATACAATAAAAAAATCAAACAATACATCAAACATGTTTCAGTGTCTTCTAACTTTTTCCCCCATTTTCTTTCTTCTACTTGTCGAACCCTTCGCTTTCTCACTGTGTCTGTTCATCCATGCTCTTTCTTTCTTTCATTCTTTCTTTGTCTTTTCACACTAGCGCTCCCTTTAGTGCAGGTGTCAAGTCAAGTTGGAGAAGAGAAACCTCTGTCTCTGCGAGATAGAGGACAATAATAGAAAAGTGTCTGCAACACCATATCTAAGTGTGTGGGTGTGTGCTGTGTGTCTCTGTGGAGGCATGTGTGTGAATGTGTGTGTCTGTGTGTGTGTGTGTGTGTGTGTGTCTTGTGTCAGCCCTGGTTAGCATCACAGACAGTGGATGTGAGAGTTAAGGACACCTTTACCTTCCAGGCTTAGCTTTGTCTCTCAGCTGTCCCTTCTCTCCCTTTCTCTTTTCCTCTACTCTCTTTTTTTCTCTCTCTCACTCTCTTCCTCTGTTGCTTTTTGTATTTTTGCCTTGCCTTCACTCTCAGCCTTTTTCTCTCCCTCCCTCCCTCCCTGCATCCTCCCTCCCCCTCTGGGCACCAGTCTCAGTGACTCTGTGTGCTGTGGGATGAAATATTTATCTGTATTGGCAGGCCCTCGCCACCCCTTCTCCTCCCCCTCCAACGCCTCTCCTCCTCTCCTCCCCCGTGTCTGTCCCTGCTGTTAAAGCTTTCTCTGAACTGCTTCATACCCCCCTCCTCCCCATCCATCTCCACCAGTAACTCACTTTCTCTCTCCTTCTCAGGTGGTGCAAATTCTTTTTATTGGGCTTTATTAGCACATAAAGCATTGTCTCATGTTGCCAGAGGAAGTGTGTGCATATTTGTTTGTCTGAGTGTGTTTGTATGTAAAATAAAAATGGCTTATCTATATTTATCCCATGATCTTTATTCATGATTGTTTCGCAGGAGACACAGTGCCCATGAGGGCAAGTCTCACTTCCTCTCCTCTCGTCAAGTTTTTTTCTCCCTCACTCCAGCCGTCCCATTACCTGCATTTCCCCTGCTCCCTCATTACCATCTTTTCTCATTCTGTTCCTCCCTAATGTGTACTTTCTGCTCCTCCTCTTGTCTCCTCCACTACTCATCCTATTGTTCTTTCCTCCACTTCCCCCCTCACTTACTTTGTCTACGTCTTCCCTCCCTATGGGCAGCGCTGCTGAGATCTCCTTCTACCCAAATCTTGTTGTACCAGAATGAGGAAAATCAACCGCAGTAAGCAGATGTCCCACAACTGCGTGGTTTTTGACTTAGGACAAAGAGGCTGAGATGATTCTCTGTGGCAGCCTCGCAGTGGTCTCACCTGTCAAAACACACTGAGAAGTTAAAGAAGCAGTCGACAGAGATGGGACCAAAACACAAAGAAGCATCTACTTGAAAGAGGAAGGCAACGCAAATCCTGTCGCTCACTGACAGATGTTACACCAGGGATTTAGTGACAGTGCGGGAAAAGTTTGACACAGTGTGTGTGTGTGTGTGTGTGTGTGTGTGTGTAGGTGTGTATGTGTGGGTGACTGATATATGAATAATTGTCAGCTCATTACAGCTGCCACTCTACTGAACCACTTTAAACAATAAACAGCATCTCTGACTCACTGTTTTCCTCCATCGTCTGTCTCCACTGAAAGTCATCAACCTTTCTGTTTCTTCACTTTTGATTTCTAGATTTCTGCCGCCGCTCATTTCAATATTCCTGTCTGTATTTTGTCCCCCTCTGTCTCTACCTGTCGCACCTCACACATCTGTTGAGGCTGATTTGCATGCGACCTAATTGTCGTGAGTGCTTCTGTTTGTTTGTGCACATGCCACATGTGGGCCTGTCAGTGACGCCTGTATTGCAGAATATTTTCTGTTTGGGTGTCTTCATCCTGCTCATGCACCTAACAATAGACTCCTAATTAGTTGTGTTAATCTTCCTCTCCTTCTGTTTTGCTTTCTCTCTGCTCCTCCTTACTTCTCCTACTGCTCTGTGTCGAGGCGCTGTGGGAAACATTGCTAAATATACACATGGAGCAGCACAGGGAAACAGACGCTCTCATTTGGAGTTTGAAGAAGTGCTGAAAGTGTAAATTGAAAGGAGCGACGGTGCAAATATAGCATTATAGGAGATTAAAAAGCGCAAGGAAGAAAGCATTTTGTTATCTCTTGCCCTTTGCGCAAGTGGGAAAATACTCAGATGGAAAGAGAGCAGGGTGGAGAATAGGGGAGAAAAAAGGAAAAGTCCCCTCCCCTTTCATCTGGGAGCACCTTTCCGACCTACTTTCTGTGTTTGTTCTGTGACAAACACTTTCACCTACACACAAACACACAAACCTCAAGGCATGGCATTTTACGCTAGGTAGAAGCTGGCATTTGATTCACTCCATGAAAATCCTTTTCTACTGTTCCCATTGGACTGCACCATGTCAATCAGTACGAGAACAGAGGGGCAAAAACACCAAGATGATGTTCAGAGAAAAGCAAAACTTCCCCTGGGAGAAAAAAAAAAGAAAGATATGAAAAAAGCAAACTTTATCCCAAATTGAACAGTGAGAATTTAATCTCTGGAGATCTGTACTATCTTACATCAGTTTTCCAGCATTGTCAGGTAATCAATGTCAAATCTCTGTGTGAAAGGTTATGAAGAAAGTGCTAGCTGTGGTACATTACAGTACAGCAGATGAGGTGCGTGTGTGTGTGTGTGTGTGTGCGCATATGGTCTTTTTGTGTGTATTCAGTGTCCCTTGTGAGGTGAAAGCCAGGACTGACTGAGTCATGTCTTATTCACTTAGGGAGACAGATGGAGACGCAGGTGTGTACATTTCTACAGTATGTGAGTGTTATAGTAACCCCTGTGCCCCTGACATTTCATAAGTCTGTTCATAAGTGTGGTGCATGTGTATCACTTTTATACGTCTTGTTTTATCCCTTGTGTTAAGAAACATGGTTCATCTGGTTGGGTAAGAAACATTTAGTATTTTCAAGAGTCTTTCAGTATGAAATGATTCACAGCTTGTTTGCTTTATCTGCCTGATATTTAGTTTGGTAATGGCTAATTTTAGTTCAGTTGGACGCTTCAAAAATGTTGCATTTACTTAACTTGTTATTTTCTGACTGTCAAATTCGGAAAACCCCCTTCCCTCACAACTTTCTGACGTCGACAGTTGGGGGTGGGTTCACACCCACTTCAAGCAGATATTGTTTGTGTATTAGGAAGGGAGAAAGCAGGATTTTAACTTCTCTCTCAAGCTTTTTTTTATTCTTTACACAACTATTTCTGTCATATTTGTGAGTGCAAAAAAATATAAATGCTTTCTCTTAAGACATACTCCTACAGCCCAGTCAGATAAACTCAAGAACCCCTTCAACAACACAACCATTTATGTTCAAAATGTGAATGTGTATTAATTTCAAGCTGAATGTTATTTTACTATAAATCATATGTAAGTGAATATAATAGTGGATGTTAAAAAAATGTCATACAAATTAATGTTTAGTTAATTTATTCATTACATTTAATCTATTTAAATTATTATTTCATCTCCTCTGCTTGCTTGCTAACTAGTTTTCACGCACTCTTATGTATTGCATACACTTAAATTAATGTGTATAGCTCTCAATATGTGGATGTATTTTTAAATCATTAATTACATTTTTTCAAATTAGTTGAGCAATCTCTCCCCGTACCGTCTGATAACAGCAGAAGTGTGAGGATGGAGCCTTGACGCACACTACATGCAACTGTCTGGACTGTAAGAGGACTAACCCATCCAAGAATTTCGGGTTAGCAAAACATAAAAAGAGGTATCACATACCAACAAAGAATCAAAGAATCATCAATCTGTCAACATGCGTGGTATAAAGCAGTAACTCCATACTGCGGCGTAATTTTTATTGGTCCAAAGATGTGTCCAAAACGGTTGAGTTGTACCCCACTTGGTTGTTCTGCCTCCTTATCTGAAATGCGTTAATCCAGATCTGTCTTTATGCTTTAGCCTGGCTGGATTTATGGATTTGGTCTTTAATCTGTTTCCTTTGAAGATTTTTGCTTGTAGCCATAAATACTTTTTGTCTGGGTTTTAAACTTTCAATTTAAAATTTGTGAATGGCAACCTGAAATCACTTACACTGGGGAGGTTTCCAAACATTTTAGCTCCTTAGTTTTTATTGTGAATTTCTTGTCAGTGGAGGACAGCGGGTCAGTGCCAGTCCAAGCTAATTGGCCCCGCACTACAGCTCAGGGTCTTGGCTATGGGACTGCAGTGTTTTTGGAGATGCTCCACCTCTTTCCCTCCTTCTCTGCTCTCTCTCTCTCTCTCTCTCTTCTCTCATTCCTCTCTCTCTCTCTTTCTCTCTCTGGCACAGCTCGATTTGTCAGTTAGTTTGATAAGCTTTATTTTTCCACCAGCTGTGTCCTCATAGTGTGTACTGTATGTATTATGTGTGTGTATTTTGTGTATTATGCCATGTGGGACTTATAGGCTTGCCGGATAAATGGGGCACACAATGTACTATAATAAAGCTCTCTCTTCACAATAGTCTATTACGTTCAAATTTCTTTTCATAGACACAAATACACAAGACCCACAAACACAAAGTGAAAATTTAATCAACAGCAAAATAGAAGCTGTGCTTCATGTTTGAAGTCCAACAATTGACTCTGGATGCAAATGCAACCTCAGCAATGCTACAGTTGCAGAACAGGGCCTAGAAATATTCAGACACAATGGCCTACCTACGGCACACGCACACAGACACAAACATCGGTAATGCACTGACCTCCCTAGCCAGGGAGCCTGCAATAGACAGATATAGAGCTGCTTGGTGGCGACTGCCTCCACTAAATCTTACCAGAAACACCACAGCTAAGGCATAACCTCTCCTGGGAGAATTATAGCACAACTGCACACAGCAGATCAAGCAAATATTCCCACGAGCACTTGGCTGCAATGGCCAAGCCTGAGAGTGGACAAGCCTAGAAAAGGATAAGGCTGTGGCAAGTCAGCTCAGGTTTTCATCAGCATACATGAAAACATGCTGTATAATTGTCTCCGCAGTTACTTCAGTTTGTGATTACGATGCAAAACGGGTAAATCTTTGAGTCATTTCATTCATTAATGAATCTTAAAAGCTTGAAAGTGAGAACCAAGTTACAAATATTAATTTGAGATGAGGAAATCTCATTAACGTTGTATGATACGCAAGACAGACACAGAAAACACACATACACACACA